ACTCCAGCTCCTCCAGATGTTTTAGACCACAGTGCCCAGCATTCTTGACCACAATCATGTCGCTGGAGCCGATAGGCATTGTGATTTCAAGCAATGAGAGGGCAATACAGTGGGGGAGGCTGCTCTGGGCCAATGATAAGGTCAGTCTCTATACCGCTTACAGGGAACTGCCATGATACACACGATGAGCTGCATTCAGAGTTGCAGCAGTGTGCTAATCTTTGTAATTCATTTATTTTATTTATTTGTACTATATACTGCTAAATATTAAGAAAACCCATACTGCTTCTCCATCTTATTACATGTTTATTCAGAGGTAAGTAATGGAGTTCAATGGTACCCGTGCCAGGTAAAGGTCTACTGGACATACTTCTGAGTAAACCTGGATAGGTTTGGGCTGAAAAATCATCACACTGTTTGCCTCCAGGAAAATCCCAGAGTAAAATTCTGCTTGTGTTCACTTGCATTTTGAAGGCAAAAGCCTGGAAGAGACACAGCAGGAAGCTATGGTGTCTTGCTGCAGTGGGATGGGGAAACTTTTTCAGTCCAGTGGCTGAACTCTGGTCTTGGAAAAGCCTCAGGGGCTTCATTCTGTATTTTTCTGTATGTAGCAGGACGAAAGACAGAGTGAGTGGGGCAGAACTGATTTTAAGCCTACTCAGAAGTAAGCAGGATTAGATCACTTAGTGGTGTTTTCAACTAACATTTTAAATCCCAGGCTACAGTGGGCTTCGGGGGTCACACATTCCATCCTCTCTTCCCCTCCTCTTTCATAGCCAACTTGAAGGGATTGGAAGTTTTTGCTGTCGACAAGCCATAATTCCTAGTGACACTCAATCTCGGGGCAACTATATTTGTTTAAACTTTGGTCAGTGATGGCAAGCCAGGTCAAACAATCATTTCAGATGCTGGCTCATTCTAAAGTTATAGGTTAAACAAACCACAGTTCTCCAAACTTGGAACGGCATTTAGCCTCCAACTGGATGCAACTGCTTCTGATCTCCTTCACCAGCATGCAAAAATAGAGAGAGAAATCCCATGTTCACTGTGACTCAGAAAAAGCTTGGGAAAGTTTCCTGGTATGTCTAAACCGTGCCTTAATATATACTTCGTGTGAACACATGTCTAATACATATGAGTCAAGCTAGGTAGTTGTCCAGTGTACAGGTTTGTAAAAGGGAAGAGGCTAAGTAGAGTTGGAGGAAGATAAATAATCACCTGATTAAAAATGAGCTCCAATAGGATAGCAAAAGGTAGGTGGGGGTCTGCAACAGCCTTCTCCAACTGCTCCCTTTGAGGTGGGCTAGACTGCACTTTCCAGAATCCTTCCAGGATCCCTGGTGTTGGCTCGGGGATTCTGAGAATGGTAGTTCAACAGATCTGGCAGGCGCCAGGTTGGGGAAGGCTGCTCCTGTTACACATAGAAAGACTGACCACCTTAATGTCAATCAAACTGGGATGGATTTCCTTGCAATTTGAGACTCTTTCCAGATGGGAGACCTTCCCCCATATAATAAAACTGCAGATGGCCATTGCTAGCTACATGCAATTCTCTTCTAACGAAGCTGATTGGGAGTGGATTCAGAACAATAAAATAAGAAGTGCTTCTTTACAGGGTTGAATCTAGACAAAACTTACTGAATCAGTGAACCATGTGTTGACTTGACTGGGTTTCCTCTCTATATGACTAAGTCTGGATCCAACCCACAAGTCCTAATAAATTGGTGAAATTCACTGTGGCACAATGCAGTGATTGGATGGCTGCTACCTTCATTGGTTGTAAAAGGAAATGGGCCAGGTCCACGGGCCCCATGGGGTGTATCAATGCCAGCTCCTCATGACAATCATATGCTTCTTCCAGGTTCAGACTCAGGGGCAAAATTATTATTGTTAACAATACTTATGTTCTGTCATTTTAATTTTCAAGGAACTCTAGGCAGCTTATATAATCCTCTTCCTCCTCTCAATTTTATTCTCACAATAACAATCCTGTGAGGTAGGTTAGGTTGAGAGTCTTTGATCATCCCAGAGTCACCCAGCAAGTTTCATGCCTGAGCAGGGACTAGAACCTGGAGCTCCCAGATTCCCAGGCCAACATTCTGTCCACTACATCACACTGGCTCATATCACACACTCACACGTAGCACTATAACTCTTGAGACCAAGCAAACTGGCAATGTCTCTTTCTCTTATTTTTCTGATCATAAATTCAGTTCATCTCAAACTTTGAGAGTTTTTTAAAAAGCAATTTTGGATAAAAATCTGTGTGAGTCCATTTCTCCTTTTGTATCCATTTTTGTATGTGATTTTGCCAAAGATACCGTTTAAAAGCAATATTCCCAATCTAATGCAAGTTTCAATGTTATTTTCATGAATAGCTATTTTTCTGCACAAACTTTTGACTTGAGAATGCAAAATTTAGAGAAGTACAAATTTCAAAGGATAACTGAGTTTTGATTTGCAGATTGGTCTGAATGTACAAATTGCATAATTTCACATTACAATGCATTCTCAATGGAATGGCTTTCTTCCTCAATCCAGCTGGAGTGGGTTACGCCATCAAGCTCTGCTAATGGATGTCCCACAGACATGTGGATGCTACAGTGGGTGAATTCTTGGTTTGATTCAGCTGGGCAAGTAGCTTTGCCAGCTCTGAGAGACATGCATGCGGGCTGGAACCCTGGCCTCTGCAGAATAAAGAGAGCTGATCATTAATCCTGGCACGTGTGTGTTTGTTCCAAGCATGGGATACTAGGAATAATTCCACATGCTTCCAGGCTCCAGGGAGAAACAGCATGCCTAGCTGACCCGTCGGATGTCCTGTGACTTGGATCAGTTCCTTTTTCCTCCTCCTTCCTCTTTGTCTCCTCTTGCTGCAACCAAGGACCAGGCAGCATGTGCTTCCTTCACAAAAGAAGCAAGTAATCCTATCTCGTGTTTTTGTTGCATACTTACACTCACACTAAGTATGAGTAAGTTCACTTGGAACATCTCTGAAACCAAACTGCCTCCAGCCTGAAATGCTATGATACTACCCTTCTGTTGTATAAAGCAATTCTGCGGTTCATTGCACCAGACTATCCAAAACAGAATAGTACAGGGAGTCTTCAGAAGCTACAGCTTAAGAAAAATGCAACAGCCAGATTAACAGGACTGGAAGATCGGAGCATATGATGTCAATATTGGCCTGCAGATTGCATATTGTCAGGTGTCGTCTTCCTTTTCCTCTCCTCCTGGATAAGTCCAGTATTTACTTAGTAGCATTAAAGTTCTTATAGTCAATCTGTAGTTATAAATTAAAACTCATAGGCCTATTAAAGAAAACGTTGGGCTGGAAAGGGAAGCCATGTATCTGGTGTAGATATAAACTCATCTCCTGCACAAGATCCAGTGACATGGGAGTTCATCCAACCTTTCATTGACCTTGGCAGCTCATACAGCCATTATCTTGCAAATATGAATTGCTCTTGTGGAGTTTCTCATTTTCTTAGCCCCACACATATTTAGCAAACATGCTGTACCCAGCCAACTTTCCAGAATCTGGTTTTCATTCATGAGCATCACATTCTTTCCTTGTTTATGCTGTTTTTCTCTGCATTTACACTGCTCCCTCTCCAAATCTGTGCTTCAGCTCCCAAGTCAAGCTGGAACTTAAAGAATGTCATTAACTAATTCCTACCAGGCAGAAAGAATCCCATGCTGCACAATGTGAGGGCCTGGTTTGCCACTAAGTATGTGCTCAAAGGGCACAGGAGCCCACCATGGCTCCCCGGCAGGTGCAATGACAGAGACAGATTGGAAAATACATGCCTGTTGCATTTCCACTTGACATCTCATGGCTAAACTACAAGCTATGTCAATCACCTGATGTTTTGCGTTATCTTTTTTCCTTTATGCGTGGTGAGTGTGAGGATTCTAAGGGGAGATTCTAAGCAGAACTGGCTGATACCAGAGAGTCGGCAATTGCAGGGAGCCTTCCAAGTGCGTCACGCTGAACAGCCTTGCAGAAGCCAAGAGTGGGGGTTGTGGGGCAGGCAGGCATAGAGCCGTGGGAGGCAGAGCAAGCATGTGCGACCCCACGTCTCCTGTATAGCTCCTGCCCCTGTGCACTTAGCTGAATGCCTGCTCTAGAGCTATGGACAATCTTGGTTTCTGGCATCTAAAGAATTCCTTGTAATAGTAAAAAAAACTGCTTTGCGTGGTCCATTGAAACAGTGAGAGGAAGCCTATTAGCTAGTTGACATATCAATAAAAAGCTAAATGTAATCATTGCAAGCCCATGATACACATGCTTTGCAAGCACGTCGTGAAATAACTTACAATTTCATTAACAAAAGGATGTTTTTTAAATGTACACAAGTGAAGCCAAAATGGCTATTACAAGAAGAGAGCACACTTGCAGTTCATCTCCTACCATGAGTGTAGTCCTTTGCAATTGCCAAACACACTCATTCCCCAGCTGGGAGTGTGCTGTGCAACATGAATGGCAAGCCATCCACCGATCTCCTGCACAGGGAGGCCTGTCTATACATTGCTCTGTGAAGAATTCGCATCCTTCTGCTCCTCAGATCACCAGAATGCAAGCAATCTGTGCTCTTTGTGCACACTGACGCCCAGAACAGGAATTTGGCTGCTGGATCCCTCTATGGGAAGCACAGCTGCGCACGGCACTGGAGACTGAAATACTGCAGGAACAACACGCACCCAAGATGAGGTAGGCTGCTAACAGAGGGGCAAAAATCCTTTCCTGTATGGCCAAGTGTGTATACATTCAGATCTGGGCATACAGGAGGGGGAAGAAATCTGCCTAGCACAACATGTCCTTGAATTTCAGCCACTCTCCAACGCAGTTGCCATGCTTCTGTTGACTAGATTGTCCCCAGTGAGCTGCGGCAAACTAATATATTGTTCAAACTAATGAAACCATGCAACGCTAATGAAAATACCTCTGGCCTTTCCAACCAGTTCTACAGAACTGCAGGGAACAAAAGTCTTCTTACCCAATTTAAGCCTTTCCCGGGCGAATTCCCATTTGCTGGCCTCGTAAGGAAGCCGTTCACATTGTTCGTCTAAAGGGACTTCTTCAGGATCCATTATGATTGACAAATAATTTGTCTTGATTTCTGAAGAATGAGGCTAGAAAAACAAGTTTTAAAATTCCCAAGTCACTACAGCATGCACAGCAATAATTTTGCAAATTAATAATAATAATGTTTTGATTAATGATAATAACTTTAATATTTTGTAAAATTCTCAAGTCATTATGGCAGGTCCCGCAATCCTAAGCAAGTACTTCTGGAGTGGGCCAGGGAGGTGGTAAGGTAATGAGATACAACCTCTGGCCATATGACTGTACATTTCGTGCGCTGGAGCAGAGGCTGCTGAAGTTCTTATTTTACCATTGCCACATATTTTAATTCATTCCAAGCATATTTGCACCGCTTCCCCTCCTATACATATCGCATCCTTGTTCTCCTCAACTGAATCCATATGAAGATCTTCTTAGATAATAGCCATACGATAGAGATTAGACTTTGCACTTTCATTCAGGGATATTTTCAGAAAATGACTAACCACAGCCTCTAAAAATAGATTTGGCCAGCAACTATATACAAAAGAAAATCCTGGCATATGTAACAGATGAGTTCAGCTGTTGATCTTTGTGTGCTTTTTTTATAAATGCTAAATGTGGTTTAAAGTTGTGCAAGAGTTAGATGTAATCTGCAAGGCATTTGTAAGTAACATTTTGTGTACACATTTTTCAAATGTTCAAGAATTCTTACTTCCCTGTAGGCTCATGCCTACGCAATCTTATTTCCCCATAATCATTCCTAACTAGCAATTTAGAATCATTAGGCTGTTGGAGAGATTAAGGCTGCAATGCTATATGCGCTTACTTGGGAATAAGCCTAATTAAACTAAGAAAAAATATTTTTGAATGGAGAGGCACAAGGTCAGGTTGCCTAATGTTGATTCAGGAAAAAACTGACATATTATGCTAAAAGGGCACTTATCTTTCCAGGAAACATTCAGATAAAATAAGTCATAACCATTTACATAGCTGAATTTTGTTAATATCTGAAAAGGTAACTTGTAAATAGCCATTAACAATATTACTAGAGCTAGTGCTGAGGCACAACTGGGTACTGCCCATATTTAAAATGGAGGAAGCCAATCTTAGGATAAATGGATGAAAACCACTTTTCCCACTGTTAGGTGACCTCTCATGGTGAAAGCTGAAGCAATGCAGGAGAAACCTGCAGTCTTATGTGAATTCAGCAAGGAAGCTGCACACAATTCATCTCCACAGAACTGTGTGCAGTGCGATTTGCAAGATCAGAGTGGGCATCCAGTGTAAAGTTTTCCTCTGGCCCCTCTGCAGTGGTGAACATTTAGTGACAGTCTTACTGCTTCACCCCCTGCTGGGGGCTCTGGGGTCATTCCTTGGATGTGGCATTATTAACTTAGCCCATAGGTGGCAATTGGCAGAAATTCTTCCTGTCGGTGTGTTGCAGCAAAACCAACTGAGAGCATGAGGTCACCTTAAGGACTTCCACAGTTTTTGTGGAATGAACCTTCATAAGCAAATGACAGCTAGCTGGGGCTAGCAGAGGTCCGAAGCATCTGGAGGATGCCAGGATGAGGAGATCAGGTCTCCATCAGAAGTAAACAACCCAGTCTTCTACAGCTGTTTGGGAATATAAGCCCCAGTCAGCATGGCCAGGGATTCTGGGAATTTATTTTCCATTACTTATTTTTTGCTACATTTATACCCCTCCTTTCCTCCAAGGAGCCCTAAGTTGCATTTTATCCTCATAATAACCCTGCAAGGTAGGCTAGGCCAAGAGTTAGTGACTGGCTCAAAACTAATAAGTGTCCGCTATAGAAACTTGAACCAGGGTCTCCCCAGGGTCTACCTCAGTCACTACACCACCTGGCTTTCAACTCTCACTGGGAGCTGTAGTCCAAAGAATCTGGAAAGCATAAGGATTCCCATCTATTGCTGCTGTAGGTTCTTGCCTTGGGATGTGCAGGCCATAATAAATATATTAGAACAGTCTTCTGCAACCTGGAACCTTCCAGATGGATGCCAATTCCTATCCCCAGACAGCATGACCAATGCTCAGAGATGACAGCTGTTACAATTTAAAATGTCTGGAAATCTGTGTTAGATTGTCAACTATTGAAACTATTGTTGAGTTTTAACATTGTGTTTTTAGAATGTGTTATTTTAGCACTGTGATCCTCCTAGAGATGCCATAGGTAGAGTAAGCAGCATATAAATATTTTAAATAAATAAATAAACTGCAGGAAGATACATGTTTTATTTAGCAATGTGTGTCTAGAGGAGATGGCTAGTATTTCAATACTTCACAATGGCATCTTTGAATTCTGCTTATAGTGGAAAATGGAAGATTAGACTCCTTGCATGAAGCAGACCCCTGGAGCATTTAAACTGCTTCACGTGCCAGGTAGAAAATCCAGAGCAGCTTTGTCCTTACCCTTTTTAGCTTACGTATGAAGAGCGTCAAAAGAAGCCAGAAGAGCGTTGCTGCCACACAGGTGCAAGTCAAGGTTATTAGCTCCAAGTTCGAGCTTTCTGATCCTCCTGGAAAATTCAAGTCACAAACAGTTTCTGTTCTATTAATACGTTTTGGGTTTTTTTCTTAAAGATCTGGCATTCAACATATACTGAAGGAAAATGACGACAGTGCATATCATTTCATCTCAAGCTGATCCTGTGGAGTGGTGAAGTGTGCCTGCATTTTCTCAGTCTGCTCTGGGAACAATTATCTGTGGCTTAGTTACTTCACCATTAAATACACATCAGGATGAATCCAGGATCTTCCATCCAGAAATCAAAGGGACTTTCTGCAAGAAGAAGCAATGCACTCATGCATTGCCAAAAGAGAATTAAGATACCCTATGAGCTGAGCTGAGCTGAGCTGAGCTGAGCTGAGCTGAGCTGAGCTGAGCTGTGCTGTGCTGAGCTGAGCTGTGCTGTGCTGTGTGGGGGGAGAGGGATTCCCTGCCCCTCCCCTATTAGCAAAGAAACCTTCCAGTATCAGCTTCCCTCTCCTAACAAGAAGCTGACTCTCTGATTGGGATTCATAGATTCATAGAATAGTAGGGCTGAAAGAGGCCAGGGTCCAACCCACTGGGTCCAACCTCTCCTGGTAACTGGTTCCATTGTTGTATTGCTCTGACATGTACATAGTTGGGTCATTTAAAGATGGTCATGGAATAAGGACACAGAATAATCAATTCAAGTTGCACCAACCCAGATTCAGGCTGGACATCAAGAAAAGCTTCCTCACAGTCAGAGCAATACGACAGTGGAACCAGCTGCCTAGAGAGGCTGTGGGCTCTCCCACACTGGAGACATTCAAAAGAAACTGGACAGCCATCTGAGTGGGACCGTGTAACTCGGTGTCCTGCACCAGCAGGGGGTTGGACCCGATGGCCTTCATGGCCCCTTCCAACTCTACTATTCTATGATTCTATGATCTCATCCACAACTTTGTGGATGAGATCATAGAGCAACTTTCATAAAACTGAAAGCTTTAATTTTAAAACTTTAAGAGCAACTTTCCTAAAATTGACTCCCAGATAGCTAGGAAAACATTTAAAGGGTCCCACAGAAAGCAGGCAGCCAAGATCTCTGTTTTGCCCAGGGTCACTTCATGCATGGCACACCACCCACATTGTGATTGTGCAACAGTTCAGTGTAAACACTGTCCACTTGAAACAGTAATATGGGAAAGCAACAGCCACTTTCTTTCCCTTTGTGCAGGTCACTAAACTTTGGTGACATTTGGAGGTTCAGATCTCACCCTCACTGCATGAACTTTATAAACTTGTTTATCAGCCCTTGTACATAGAAATTTGCCTAAAAATGATGCCCAAAAATGGAGTAAGGATAGCCAGATAATTAGGGTTAATCAGAGCAACTACAGTAGGGATGTTGAGCTTCTTTCAGTGAAAGGCCAAATTTCAATTCAGAGAAGCAATGATGGGCTTCATTCCAGAGGATGGTGGGGCAAGACTGAAGAGTTGGAGCTGAAGGCAAAATGGGGTAATGCCAAAGTACCCCAAATGCCAGCTTATTGTCACTCAGAGTTCTTAGAGGCAGTAACTAAGCCTTAGGAGAAGAATTTCAAAACATCCAGAATGGAAAAACTGCATAAAAGCCAGAAAGAAACTTGGCAGAAAAAAGGACAGGGCCAGGGGAAGGGGCCTGGCCTTTTGGGGGACCCCAGTGGGCTAGGATTTGCCCTCCAGAGCTGGATTTCTGTACCCCTGAACAGCAGTATGGATGTATATTTTGTCTAGCCTTCTGGATCCAAAAGATTCCATTTCACCTACATTCTGCAACCCTGGCCAAATGGGAGAATGTATTGCCAGATTTATTGGCTTGGGACAGAAGCCAAGGTGGAAGCGAGCAATGCCCTACCAATGCCAGAAAAAAGAAAGTCTTGCAGTGCCAAATCTGGAATACTACACTGGTGCTCCATTCAATTTCTTGTAAAATGAACACAAGCCTCCTGAAACCATTGGTGGATGTATATAAACCAATAAGCAGTTACGATCAACTAGACACTTATGGGCTGCCTCAATGACAAACCTAAGTGCAGTTCTGAAAACTGGTTATCAGAGGCACCGGACTTGGGAATGCAGGCAAAACATAAATGCTATGGCTCCTCATCTGTCTTCTCCAAGGTCGGTGCTATGTCATCCAGAATTTGTGGCATATTCACAAAACAGTTGTTGCTGATAACACAAATATCTTGGCACTTAGTAAAGCCAATTAACAATCCATCAAGTGTTTCCAGAGTCTTGTACATCCATCCATTCCAGTCTCACTGCAGCCCAGTCCGCACTTCAAAGCAATGAAAAGTGGGGACACCTGAATGTCCCACAGACCTTTTGTGACACTTGCAAACCAGGGACAGGGTTTGCCTCTCCACCTGATGACCCAGAGAGAGAATCCATGACGTGCACACTGGGCAGCCACAGTGAACAGCCACTATGAACAGCGCGATTTCTCACTGTCAGCGCTTCCTGCATTTCATGATCCTCGGAGCTTACTGCTGGCTTTCCCTGTCTGCTCTGCTCTGCACTGCCTGGCCACCCTCCCCGTGCATCAGGTGCTGCCGCCTTGAGTTCCTTACAGGTGGAAGAAAGGGTGAGTATAAATGTAAATTAACTAATGATATTGAAGAGGACTCCAGAAAACCCACTACTGTAATGAATGAGTTAGTCTTTAGGAGACCACAAGACTGTTGTGTCTCTTGCACCTAGCATGCTTTCTCTGCTGCAAATGTTACGTTGTGCATAGTACCATCAGAAACCATAACTGTCAAAGTAAGATGCAATCACAGATCCATGGGCCAACCCGCCACATGCAAGAATACGCCTACTGACTGTTCAGGGATGCATCTAGTTAGCCATTTCTCACAGCTTAACATCACTACAAGTCCATGTCACTTTACATCTCTTGCTCCAAGAGGCCTTTATCAGCCAGATTTATACGACTGAAACAACTTGACCATACCCCTGCTCAGTTTCAGAAAAGCGAATCTTTCCGTATGTTTTGCTGTAAGACTTCAGGACAGACACTCAACCTGCATGCATTGATTGGCATTAGATAACTGAGCCTTCTTTGCTTCCCTCCTGCTTCCTGCCCAGAAGTTTTTGCCTGATAGCCTGAGTAGCCTGTGAATGCTAAAAAGGAAGTTCCTGATTCCTGTTAGTTTGTCTCTTAAGGTGCAGGGTAACATTATATCTTTTCTCCTTCTAAGTAATCAGTCACCAGTTGAGAGCACTTAGTTCAAATGTCCCTTCCTTTGTGTGAGATGCAGAGGAGGGCTGGTCCCATGCCCCCCAATGCGTTCAGCCATCCCTTCTCTCTTACAAACAGCTATTAAAGGGCGGGGGGGGGGGGGACCCAGGAAATTAATGGGTGTTTGTTCCAGATGGAATAGGCTGTACATGTTTCTTGATTTCTCCCTGGTTCTTTGTTCTGGGCCTAATGTGAACAGTGGGGCCAAACCTAATGTTACATGCACAGATTTCCTCTTCCCTCCCCTCTCTGCACCCCCCCCTCATTTTCTCTGGAAGGAAGTCCATCTCTCTGGAGCAGATTTGGGATGTGCACAGGACAGAGGGATGCAGTGGAAGGGGAAGTGATATCCATTCTGCTGGTGGAAGGGTGCTATTGGATGCAACCCACTGAACATCAGCCATCTCCCTCTTCCCCCTAGCCATTTAAACCCTCTGAAGTGGCCTGCAGGAGCTGTGCTTACAAGAGCATAAGAAAAGCCCTGCAGGATCAGATCAAGGGCCCATCTGGCCCAGCATTCTGTTCACACAGTGGCAAAGAAAGCAGTGGTCCAGCTAGGACATGGGTACAACAGTTCCGCCTGCCAAAGTCCACCAGCAACTGGTGTGCCCTTGCATGCTACCAACGATACCAGAGGAACTGCATATCCATCAAAAGGAGGTGCCATTGTTAGCCTTCTCTTCCATGAATCTTTCCAGTCTCAACTTAAAGCCATCCGGATTGATGGCCATCACTACCTCTTGTGGCAGTGAATTTCATAGTGCTGTGTGTAGATGTATCTGTCTTGCATCTTCTACCAATCAGCTTCTCATGATGATACTGGGGTCCATAATTATGGGAGAGGAGGAAAATGTCCCACTTTCCACTTTTCACACCATGCATAATTTCGAACATCTTTGCCATGCTTCCCATTACTCATCATTTTCCTAAGAGAAGCAATCCTGGTTGTTGTAACGAACTCTGATAGGGGAGCTGCTCCAGTCCCTTGATTGTTTTAGTTGCCCTTCTTTGCACTTTTTCCAACAATGTCATTTTTCAGGTGTGGTGGCCAGCACTGTACACAATACTTTAAGTATGGTCATATTAAAGATTTGTATAAGAGGAATATGATCTTGGAAATTTGATTTTCAATTCCTTTCCTAATTATGGCATTCCCTCCTAACATTTTACATTTTCATCAAGTGGTCCACCACATTCTCAAGACCCCTTTCTTGCTCTGTCAGCACTAGTTCAGATTCCATCAGCTTGAAGATGAGATTTTTTCCCCCCAGCATGCTAACTTTACACTTGCTTACACTGAACAGCATTTGCCGTTCTGATGCCCTTTTTCCCAGCTCAGAGAGATCCCACTGGAATTCCTCACAATCCCTTTTAAATGCTTTAAATAGTTTAGTATCGTCAGCAAACTTGGCTACTTTATTGCTCACTTCTAATTCCAGATCATTTATGAACAGGTTGAAAAGCACTGATCCTAATGCAGAACCTTGTGAGAATCTTGTCCTTACACTCCTGCACTGGGAGAAATTACCGTGCATTCTCAATGTTGGCTTTCAATTCTTTAATCAGTTCCTGATCCATAGGACAACATGTGTGCGCACACAGCCCTTATTCCATCACTGCCAGGTTTTCTCAAGAGTCTGTTGATGGACTTTATCAAAAGGCTTTTGGAAGAAAACAATGTCTATTTGATTGCTCTGTCCACGTGTAGTAGTGACAATCTCAAAGGATTCTACTGGATTAGCAAGACAGGGCTTACCCCTGCAGAA